CGCTCAGCGTAATGTCCTCCAAGTTCATCCACGTTATGCGGTGTTCTGCAGATTCTACATTATTCTTTAGCGTTGCATAGTATTCCATTGTGTGAATATTTTTCACCTACTTTTGTAAAAGCGAAAATCCTCTTCGGATTTCTTTTGGTTAGGTTAGCGAAAACAGGTACTAAGGTACCCCTTTTGTAAAAGTAAAGTGCCGTAAAACAAACTTTTGAAAAACAATGCCTATGTATTTTAGGAGCTCTGGTAGCTTAGTGCTTAAGGCACTTGACTGCTAACCAGAAGGCTGGTGGTTCAAACCCACCAGCCACTCCTCGGAAGGAAGATGGGGCAGTCTACTTCCATAGTGATACTGCCTTGGAAACCCAAGGAGGGGTCGCTAGTCCGACTCGACAGCACATAACAACAACAACATACTCTATTTTTAAAGACAGATTCATATTAAGAGAAAACCAAGAGAACACAAAATCAAACATGCACAGTAATTACAGTTTTGAGGAAATAATGCTTATAAGTTTATTATGATCACAGAAGGCCAATGAGAGGTAAATATTAATTGCTGTTGTAGTAGGAAAGATTTTCAAATGTATTACATAATCTTTTAAGAATTTGAAAAAGGATTATAGCTTTTTGCTCTACTTCTAAATAGTCTGACAAATTTAATATATACTCTCTTATAAAATTGGTCTCATGCATCGTCTGAATATCAGAAACTGTAATATTGGCATCACTTTAGACGAAACAGTCAAATGTAATGACATAGTTCAGAGTTTTTTAAGTTGCGGAAAAGATTCTATTGTAAGACTTTCAGGCAAAAAGGTCTTCAATATCAACTGAATTTCCTGTTGTTCCTTGATGCTTCATGTTTAGAAAAGATTTTTATGTTTAATAGATTTGAATTGACCTTGAATTATGTTTGTACTTTGGGCAGGGAGGAGGGGTTGTTTGATACAAACAAACAAGTTGAAGGTTAAAAAAAAAAAAAAAAGAGGTAGCTAATTCTTTTGCTTTTTCTAGTAAAGTATAATTTCCAATTCTGGAGTTCCATTAAAGTTGGAAGTAAGGAATATCTTGTCACACTCCCTTCTTATTTATTTTTTTTAAATTGTGATTTGGGTGAAGATTTACAGAGCAAATTCACTTTTCATACAGCAGTTCACATATACTTTGCCTCATGTCATTGACCACAGTTGACCACAATGAGACAGCTCCCCTCCCACTTCCTCCACAGTTACCTCTTCCCAGTGTCCATCCCT